ATTTAGTTTGTGGTTTTGGTGACTTGAGACTTGAATATCTCAAGAGACTTTGCTGTGGTGGTTCCAATCCTTGACGGTGTTTATGAAGAAGGACCATTTCCTACAGTCTTTGGTGGCTGGCTGTAATAGGTAAGTATGTTGTCCTGTCCGGTTTGAGCTTCTTGTTGGTTTTTGTAGATATTTATTCTTGTCTATGTCTACAAGGTCGTTTGTTATTTTGTAACACATGATGAGTCGTGCTTCTTTTCGTCTTGTTTGTAAGCTTTTCCATCCTAATTCATTTATCATGTTGCTGACACTTGATCTATTTCTATGTCTGCTGGTTACATATCGTGCAGCTCTTCTTTGTACCTTTTCAATTTTATCTATGTGGTTTTGCTGGTACGGGTCCCATACTGTCGTGGCGTATTCCATTTGCGGTCTTACTAATATTTTATAGGCATGCTCTTTGATGGATTTTGAGCTAATGTGGAGGTTTCGATGTAGGAAACCAAGGCTTCGACTGGCTTTTCCTGTGATGTTGTTTATATGTTCTCCCCAATCTAGATCATTTGCGATGGTGCAGCCTAGGTATTTAGTTGATGTTTCATGCACCAGAGTATGGCCGTGGAGTTTATAGTCCCACTTGGTTGGCTTTTTCTTTTTTGTAACTGTGAGGACACTACATTTTTCAGGATGGAACTCCATTTTCCAGAGTTCTTCCCATTTTCCAGTTTGTCCAGGTATTCTTGGAGTTTATGGCAGTCGCTGTCTGATGAAATTGTCAAATAGACCACAGTATCGTCCGTAAACAGTCTCACTGTGGAGTGTAAGCCTTCTGGTAGGTCGTTGATGTAAAACAGATAAAGACTGGGTCCTAATACTGATCCTTGCGGTACTCCGGATTCTACTTTTACTTTGTCAGATGTTTCGCCTTCAACAACTACTACCTGGGTTCTATTGGTGAGAAATTCCTTTATCCATTTGTTTGTTTTACTTTGGATGCCATAATGGTGTAATTTATGGAGGAGTAAGCTGTGGGACACCTTATCAAAAGCTTTTGAAAAGTCAAGTATTAGCAGATCTGATTGTTTTCCGTTTTCCAGGTTTTTTGTGATGTCATCGATACATTCAAGGAGTTGTGTTTCGCATGATCTTTTACTTCTGAAGCCGTGTTGTAATGGTTATAGTATGTTATTTACCTCTGCATGTTTCATGATGTTACTGGTGACTATGTGTTCTATTATTTTGCAGCAAATACATGTTAGGGATATTGGCCTTTAGTTAGCTGCTATGTATTTCTGGCCTTTCTTCAATGCCGGAGTGACATTTGCAGTTCGCCAGTCATCGGGTATCTTTCCTTTCTCCATTGAAAAATTGTATATGATGGTTAAGATTGGAGCAATTTCACTGGCTAGTTCTTTCAGAATCATTGGCTTGATGTTGTCTGGTCCAGCAGCCTTGTGTGGTTTTAGATTTTTCAGCTGTTTTTCCACTCCATTAATTGTGATGATTATTTGTTCGCTGTCTGGATAATTTTCTGGTAGATCTGACATGAGTTTTTTCTTTTCAAAATCTCGTTGACTGATTGGACATGCAGCAGAGAAGACTGATTGAAATTGATCATTTAGAATATTTGCTTTATTTATTGGGTCAGTTTCTAATTTCCCATTTCTTCTAAGTAGTGCTACTCCATTTTTATCACTTTTCTTGTGTTTGATATAGGTCCAGAAACTTTTTGTTGGTGAACGGATGTCCTCGTTATCTTCTGGAGTTATTATGTCTTCTATATACTTCCAATAGGCTTGTCTTGATTTTCTTTGGATGGTTTGTTTCAGTTGTTTAAATCTTTTAACATCAGTAGCATGGTTTGATTTCTTTTTCTTTTTATAGGCTCGGTCTCTTCGTCTCATAAGTTTTTTGATTTCCTGGGTTATCCATGGGTTTTTGTCCTTAGTCTTGCATACTTTGGAAGGTATATGCTGGTTAGTACTGCTTTCTAGGTCTTCTTTGAACATATTCCAGAGTATATTGATGTTTGTCTTCTTGTTCATGCTTTCTTTTTGAATTTTGATATAAAGCAAATTCATATCCTCTTTTATGCTGTCCCATTTAGCTCTTCTATACAGTTGGATTTTTCTTGGCTTTTGTTTGTTTGTCATTGGATTGGTGTTCATTTCTGCATACACAATATCATGGTCTGAAATTCCTGGAATGACATCAAGTCTCATCATTTTACTAGGACAGTTGGTTATAAGAAGGTCCAAAGTGTTTTTATTTCTAGTTGGCTCTTGTACTAATTGAGTTAATCCATTGTCATAAAGAATATCTGTAAGCTGGTAATGTTGTTCTGCATGTTGAGTTCCTTGGCGGACTGTTTTGTTTGTCCAGTTCCATCCTGGTAGGTTGAAGTCACCCCCAATCATTAAGCATGCATTGTTTTGTGAGGCTCTAGTTACAGCTGTTTCAAATTCTGAGAGGCTCTCTTTGTAAGATGTTTTTGGATTATAATATGAGCATATGTAGAGGTCTTTTGTGCCTTTTTGTTGTATTCGTGCCCATATTATTTCACAGTTAGTGTCTAGTTCTGGTATTTCAGTGCTTAGAAACTTGTTGTGTATGGCGATAAGGACTCCACCCCCAGTTTTATTTTCCTTTCTGTCCTTGCGATAGATGTTATATTCTGGAGGGAATATTTGGCTGTTGATGATTGATGAATCCAACCAAGTTTCTGTCATTATCATTACGTCTGGCTTTGTACTATCTATAAGATTTTGTACTTGGTGTTGTTTGTTTCTGATGGACTGACAATTCACATTTAGGATCCTTAAGGGTATAAATGGTTTATTCCTAGTTTCTTGTTTTTCTCTCGTTGGAGTTGATGTGTGTTTTGGTTTTACACATTCTTGTTGGGATGCTGTACTCATATCAAGTGTACCATCTAGTAATAAGTTAAAGCTATTGTTTGTTGAGATAGCTGTTGAACCATAGCATAAGGAATTGTAGTTTGGATTATCACAAATGATACAATCCCATCGCACAGAGATGTTTTTATCATCCACAAGGTAGCTATAGGTTTTACTGTGAATATCTTGGCAGTTGATATGATATTGGTCACAGGTATCGCATCTTATGGCTCTGTCGTCCCATGTCACAGGCTGGTCACAAGTTCCACATGGGTATATAGTGCTGTCATTATGTGTTGGTCCTGGGTTTGGATTTACATCATTTGCATTTGCTAATAGTATGAGCAGTAAATATGATGTTACTGATTTACATTGATAAGGATAAGCTCTTGGTGATTTTAGTCTATTTACTGTTGTTAACAAGCTTTATACTGTTGTGTCCTGTTTTATTTGAACCTCTGTATCTTCAATGTTTGCCATAGCTGCATTTTTCATGTTCATGATGGTGCTGGCAATGATGATAAAAATTGTGATAAACCTCATTTTGAAAGTTGAAGTTGATATTTAATGCAGGTGTTTTTTACTGAATATATTCTAGTTTGACTCTGTATTGATACGGTGTAGTAAAGACTGATAAGATAAACTCACCTAAACCCTTTACTACAGTATTTTCGTCTTGGTGCTAGAATAATGTCAATAGATCTGCTTCTTCGACTTGTAGTTGGACAAATTCTGATTCTTGTATTGCGTTGTAGCATTCGCTGTAGGTGTCAAGCAATAGTTGTTTGGTGATGGCAAGGCTAAGTAAATTTCCTGGATGTAGACCGTCTATTTTGTTGACTGAGATGTTGATTGACTTTCTATAGCCGCCTCTTTTTATTTTTCTGCCCCTGATGAAGAATTTGCTTACTTTTATGGTGTTCTTGTTTAATTTCTGGTTTAGGTTTATAATTTCAGAGTTAAGTTTCTGTATCTGTTTTGTTACTTGGAAGTCTTCAACTTTAAATGATGCAGGTTGTTTATGTCCTTTGAACTTATTGTACTTGCTGATCGACAGTATGGGACAATCCACAAACTTTATCTCGGCACCTGGATGTTGCTCAACAATGTGTATTGCTCTTTCGTATTCTCTTAATATGGTATTTACAGTTTTAGAACTTTGGTGTCTAAGTCTAATAAATTTCCCCTCTTAGATGGTAAAATCACAGGTTCCTGACCAAAAGTAAATAATGATGTGATAATGTCTCTTGATTGCTTTTGGAATTCTGTGCTCAATCAAGTCAACCAGTTCTGATGTTTTTGCTCCGGAGATGCACCACGATTCTAGTGGGAATTCGCTGACTTGGCAGGCGTTCCGTATCTGAATTGTTTATTAAGTGGGAGTTTTTTTTTTTAAATTTAGTCATCATTTAACAGCAAACTGTTAAAAAGTTGTTTGAAAGGACTTGATTCATCAGATATGCACCAAACACAAATAAACCAACAAAAAGAAATAAAAACACGAAGAACCGATCTAAGAGTACTCGCGGTTTAAAGCCATTTTCAATTAATTTAGAATAATAGTATACCAAGTTTCCCATGTTATGTTATGTAATGTTTATGTATGTGCGTAGATCCCTACGTCTACGGAGCACACCTCGAGAGGTGCGAGGTTACAGTGGAATCTATGTACATTCCCTATCGGGATTAATGAAGTTGTGTTACTAACGTATTTACAACAATATTTACAAGGACAATCCCCACCTCAACAAGAGGGAGTGCTAGGACACCATGGCCAAAATATCAAACAGTATATACATGTATGCAACGGATTAAGCGTAATGACGTCATAAGTTTGTCTATTCAAACAATAGCCTGTTATATTTAACTGCATCTCTTATATATTTATTTTTTCATATAACGCTTGCTTTTTTTCCATTGTTTTATAGCTTATCAGTAGGTGTGTGTGTGTTGAAGTCATATAGGATGACCTATTACTTGCATTCACATCATTTGAAATCTAGTTGAATATTGTCATATTGGCAATCATACCACAGCTCCTTTTATATATATATTGTTCCTCTTTTGTACTGAAAAATAAACATGTTGCTTTTGTAAATTGTACCTACATTTGCAGGGATCTGCTTTTGCGTGGTCGTTTCTTAGAGTCTGTTTCCAAAAATTCAACATTATTTAGTATTCAGAAACTTGAGTTCCATCTTCTATAAGCATTTATGTAATCTGCAAGAAACTTGAGGAAATACAAACAGAATGAAAGAGATGTACAAGGTAAGATACATTCACAGGAATATCTAAGCTATGTCGCATTTTAAAAAATATATGGACAATTTAAAGTGGGAAGTGACACGAATTGACTTTATTAAATCGAATTAATATTATGGCACATGAGATCACCAATTGAAAGTTTTAGTGGGATACGTGTTAATCAATCTTTAGCTTTCAACTTATAAAATGAGTTTGACTATCCCTTTGGTATCTTTCGCCATTTTTATATGCTAGATAATATTGGCCTCCATTTGACACAGAATGTATTGATGAATAAGACATGGACAGTTCGAGCCGATATTATGTCGAATTAAAATATGCTCTCATGTCAATTTTGTTTTTGTAAACTCGAAAATCGTTTTTAACACAGCACATTCAGGTTGTTCCATGATATAAATGAAGACAACAGCAGTTTAGTTTACTGATTTTCAAACAGGGCATACTTTTAGTAATGAAAAGGGGTAATGGTTGGTGCCATCATACTTCTTTAATATGACTGTACCAAGTCAGGAGCCTGTAATTCAGTGGTAGTCGTTTGTTGCTGTATATCATATTTTTTCGTTCATTGTTGTGTACATAAATTAGGCCGTTAGTTTTCTCGTTTGAATTGTTTCACATTTGTCATTTCAGTGCCCTTTATAGCTGAGAATGTGGTATACATTTTGCTTATTTTTGAAGGCCGTATGGTGGCCTATGGTTGTTAACTTCTGTGTCATTTTGTCTCTTGTGGAGAGTTGTCTCATTGGCAATCATACCATATCTTCTTATTTTTATTTTGTATGACCATATAAAAGATGACTATTTTAATATTGTATAAAAACTTAGGATTAAATCCCGTAAGCATACCTAAACGTAGCGAACAATTTTTTTACGACAAATATTGGTTTTCAGCTTCTTATGTATTTATAATTTTTCGGGGTTCTCTTTTTTAAGATTTCATGCGAAAAAATTGCATGCGCATGCACTTCTAACGTCACAAACTTGAATGGTATGTATAATCTCGATTTACTGTACACATTTTGCAACTATTGTCCAGTCTTTCTATTTACCTAAGGTTAAAATTAACACTTATCAGCTGGTCATCTTTATGAATAGACGGTTGCAAAATACAACAAGTTATCATAATTCTCGTTGTATTGGCATATGAACAATGTTGTTATTGTAAGAATTTTAAAAACGGGAATTTTCATACATTTAGTACAATAGTTTGACCATAGATATAAACCAAATTGAATAAAATCTTGTTTTAAACTAAAATAATGTATATAAGTAAAACTTATTTTAACAACAAATTAAAGCAGTGACTCAGCAAAATTGACTCATAACAATTTTGTTTCATGAACACATTTGAAAAACAACATCATCTTCATTTGTTCTGGAAAAAACAATTCATATGGCAGTTTTAAAGATTGTATATAAGATGTCATATTTAATGTGTCTCTATGACATTCACATAATTCGTTATTTTACAACAATACATCACGAGCGTTTCAAGACTTATTATACATCACTTGAATGGAATTGTATCAGTGCGACTGTCATACAAGTGAGAGGTTTAGCTAGCTTGAAAACCAGGTTTAAGCCACAATTTTCTACATAAGGAAATGTCTGTATCAAGTCAGGAATATGGTAGTTGTTTTCCATTCGTTTGATGTATTAGAGCTTTTGATTTTGCTTATTGTTATGGGACTTTCCGTTTTGATTTTTCCTTGGAGTTTGGTATTTTTGTTGTTTTACTTTTTGAATATTTAGAAGTGTAAACTTTTTCATAAAACCACCAACTGTTTTTTTTTTTTCTTATAGATTATCATTCACTTCAACTACCAAAAAGGATATTACGATTATGTGTTTTTCTCCATCCCAATTCCAGAATTCAGTAGCCTGCCAACAACTAATATTGCAGTACTACAGCGTGTATATACTGTTTGTGTCGTTCCTATTTTCACATGGAATGACAATGACGTAGAAACGAACGAACAAGCTTCAGTGAATAATCACAGCACTCAATTAGAACCATTACCTGATTTAAATGAATCTGAAACATTAGATTATTTGTCAGTTCTTGCAGATATTGCTGAAAGTGAAAACAGTTCACTTTGTATATATGAGGACCATCCTAATATGAACCAGTCATTGAGTTCTGCATCTTTCAATAATTTTGAAAGAAATCGACAAATTGCTCCGTTCTCATTTTCACATGACGAAGCAGATTATGTCGACTTGCGTTCTTCCTCAAGAGAAAGATCTTGCAATAGTCAGATTTCTCGGAGCTCTCACTATGATCGGAATTTAAGAACGTCATCTTCAGATGAAGCTGTAAGCAATCCATTATCTTCAACTGCATCAGCCCCTATTAGCATTGCCAGTGCTCATAGTTTCGCCGATGTGTCAGAACAAGACTTCGTTCAACGTCATTTGCCAGAACATACTGATGAACATCCTAGAACATCTTCGAGTAATGTTAGTAACGTCTTTCCAACTCAAAGTAGACTGCTTGGAACATCCGATTTTGTTGACCAAAGTGTCTTCAATCCTACTAATACTTCAGGAGCTACAGTACAAACGGAATCAAATCATACAACCAGAATTGAAAGGAGAAATTTGGTAAATTCGAGAATTGACTGTATTGAAAATATTGATGATTGTACCACAACTGGAATTTCGAATGTTGGTGATAACGAACACGTGGATGATGCTGATTTATTTCCAACTGCAGTACAAAGCAATCATAATGATGTAGACGTAATAAATTGGGAGAACCAATTGAGAATACACAACATACGACAACGTTATCTTTCAAATATGCATTCCCCGGAAATTAGAAACAACGCGTTTAGTCATCTTAATTGGCACAACACACGTCCACCTGAGGAAATTACAGAAAGTCAGATGTTTCCTCTTGAAAACGGTAAACACTAAATCATTAGCAAGTACAAATATAAAGTGTTAGATACAATATAAAATTCAAATGATTTTGATACGTACGTGTGTAATCACTAGAAACATTACAAAGAAACGAAGAGTATCCAATTAAAATAAAACTATCGTCTTTTCAGTGACTTAAGGATGTTTTGTTTCTATTTCTTTACTTTTCACCTTATATAATGCATATAAATTATCCCCACATTAATTATATAAACAAATTTTTTAAATAGTCTAAACATTATTCTTAAGGTGCATCACTTCTTCGGACTTGCGAGCATATAGCACTTAATATAACAGAGTGTGTTATCTCTATTTCTAACTTTTAATTCTGAGGCCGCTTTTTGAAACAGGCAGTTGACGGAAAGATGAAAAAATGCGACGTTTGAATACTCTTCCAATTCTTTGGAATCGTTAATGGTATTTGTATGTTCGATTTGTTTCATAACGATGTGGGGATTTCTTAAAATAAATTGGCTATAGTATAACACGTGTAAAAATGTAGTTATCATTTATCATACAATTTTTCAGAACAAAATGTGTACACTGCCAGAAATGATATAATTTCACGTCTGATTGAGAAAGGGTTTACACCAGAAAGAGTAGAAAATGCATTTCAACATTTCATCTCAACAAGTAAGTAAATTCATTATGCAACGAATGGTACAGGGTTATTTTTGAGGTCATTTATCAAAAAATTAAATGACACGAATATGTTATCAGTTATTATTATTAAACATGGGTGGTTATTATCTTAATCATGTGTAATAATTTCTCTAAAAAACATGGACATTAATCTTCCATTGATCTGAATCGTTTATATCGCTATCCCTGCCAAAAACGCGAGCCTATGCATGTATACATTATGCGACATATTCATTAGTTCTTTTTTTGTTTTTGACTGCATATCATGATCATTTTGAAGACATTATTACCCTTGTTTTCGATCTTACTTTTGTGCGTCGATCAATTCGGCTAACGTACAATGCGTTGTTCGGCTTTACTGATTTTATGTGCTGATCTAGGTTGTTTTACGTATTCGTTTTTATTTAGGTAGTCACCACTTCGGTGTTAACATTTATATCTATTATATGGTCATTTTTATAAATTTACTGTTTGCAAAAATATGAATTATTTCAATACTAAGGATTTTCTTATCCCAGGTAGATAACCTTAGCCATATTTGGCACACCTTTTTGGAATTTTGGGTCATCAATGCTCTTCATCTTTGTTTGGCTTTCTTTGCTATTTTGACCTGAGCGTCACTGATGAGTCTTGTGTAGACGAAACACGCGTCTGGCGTATTAAATTATAAGCCTGGTACCTTTCATAACTATTAGCTTGTCGTAATGTTCTATCGTATTGTTTATTTGTGTGTTTCTCTGTCCTGTATGTTCTTCCATTTATTTGTATTGTAGTCCTGTCATGTAATGTTGCCATTTTAGTGTTATATTTAACATTGCATTTAAAGCGGGAGGTTTGGCTAGCCACAAAACCAGGTTCAACCCACCATTTGTTCTTAAAATGTCCTGTACCAAGTCAGGAAAATGGCTATTGTTATCTTATAGTTCGTTTCTGTGTGTGTTCAATTTAAGTGTTTCTGTTGTGTCGTTTTTCTCCTCTTATAGTTGATGTATTTCCTTCAGTTTTAGTTTGTAACCCGGATTTGTTTTTTCTCAGTCGATTTATGAATGTCGAACAGCGGTATACTACTGTTGCCTTTATTTACCAAATAAACAAGCCAATATAAGTGCCACCTGAAAAAACACAGACCTTATAGAATCAAAGGCTGAAAGCTATGATTGTGGTTTCTTAATAATTGATGATTTTGTTTTTTTAACACTAGGTTACTCGTAGTCGTGTTTTACAATACATTTGCCAAAAATCTGTCGTTGTTAGATGATTGTAAAAAAGGTAAAGAGTAATCAACAAAATGACAGTTTAAATGAATAACCTAAGATTTTGCCAAATGTGCATGTAGAATGCAGATTTTTGTCACATTAATTTCCTCGATTAATGATTTAACTTAGTATAAATATACCTTTTGACCAATTTATAAATAGATTTATCATCTGTGTAAAAGATTTTTTTAAATAAATTCTTATATAAAACATGTGTTCAGGTTATGTCGACAGAGGCCACTCTCTTCAACGTACTTAGATATGTGCAGCACCTTGGCTACCTCTTGTCGGGTTGAACTATTGACATATCGACAGGTTTTAGCGTCTACAATAGTTTTGAGTGATCCATAAAGTATATGTTTCTTTTTATGTATAGGAAGACACAACTTTTCGTTTGAGGATTTGCATGAATTTCTGCGTAATGAGATGAAATAAGAAGAAGAAGGCAATGGTAGGTAAACACTTGTAAAAAGGGAGAACCGTTTGCTAAATAAAGGCAACAGTAGTATACCGCTGTTCGAAATTCATAAATCGATTGAGAAAAAACAAATCCGGGTAACAAACTAAAACTGAGGGAACACATTAAATATAAGAGGAGAACTACGACACAACAGAAACACAACATTAAAATGTAACACACACAGAAACGAACCATAATATAACAATGGCCATTTTCCTGACTTGGTACAGGACATTTTAAGAAAAACATGGTGGGTTGAACCTGGTTTTGTGGCTAGCCAAACCTCCCGCTTTTATGGCAATGTTAAATATAACATTAAAATGACAACATTACATGACAGGACTACAATACAAATAAATGGGAGAACATATAGGACAGAGAAACATACGAATAATAGCTAACAAAAGGTATCAGGTTTAAAACTAAATACGCTAAAAGATTAACATATTTATTAGAGGATGAGACTGGAATATGCATACTTTTTAATCTGATTCAGAAAAAATTACAAAGGTATTCTCTGATAACAATATCTTCCTTTCCTTTATAATCGATTGTATCTTGTTTCTTGCAAAATATATGTAGGACTCTGATTCGCAATAGTACTCTGAACCACGATAATCACACTAATAATAATAATAATAATAATAATAATAATAAAATCTTTATTTAGAGAGAGTAACTCATTTGGATTACACCAATTTTCAATAAGGCTCTTATAATACAATAATAATTACATTAAAAATAAACAATACAAATTCAATAATAATGATAAATAAAGATGCAATACAATTTAAATTCAATAAACAATTACTATATGGCATAACAGTACACATATCGTGGTAATTTTAAAAGTACTTATATTTGTAGTTATGTTTAAATTCTAATACTGTGTTTGATTTTTTAATTGTATTAGGAAGAGCATTGCAAACTTTTGGTCCACTGTACGAGAAACTAGACTTATACATCTCTTTATTTGGTTTTGGAATTATGAAATTATCTGAAGACTAAAATCTCGTATTGTATTTTTCGTTTGCAGAAGCTGATAAAATGATACTTGACAAATATTCTGGAGCTAAACCATTTTTTGCCTTATACATAAGCAATGATTTATGATAATGTATTCTTTGTGTAATCGGCACTATGTTACATTCGTGAAATAATTCGCTTGAAGGTTTGGTGTAATCATGTTCGTCTAAATTATTCTTGCTGCCCTCTTTTGCAGTTTTAGTAAACTAACTAATAGAAAGTTGTTGCAGTTTCCCCATACAACAATAATCTAAATGAGGTAAAACGTAGGCGTTATAAAACAGTTGTCTAGCTTTGTGATTTAAGTATTTCTTTATCCTTTTCAGTAAAGCCAACAAAAATACCTTTAATTTATGTGTTCATCTGATGTAACAGAAAGCTTCTGTTTAGAGCCAATACATATAGCTTTCGTTTAAGATACATTTACAGCCACTTTATTGTCATCACAGCGGCGAAAAATATCTTGTAAAACCGTATTAAGTTTTTGACTGATGCAACGTTTGTTTTGTCAAATGACTGATATGGTGCTATCATCAGCAAATAAATCGGTGTTATGATTAGGATTAGGTACAGGAAGATCATTTATAAAAATTAAAAACAACACAGGTCCTCAAACGGATCCTTGAGGTACACCCGTTTTTTTTTGGTTTTTTTTGTACGTCTGAAAATGTATTTGCAATAGATACCATCTGGTATCTGTCAGCCAAATATGATGTAAACCAACATAGCGAAGTATAACCAAATTTGTATTTGCTTAATTTTTGAAGAAGCAGTTCATGATTGAGAAGATCAAAGGCTTTTGCTAGATCTAGAAACACTGCCCCAACAAGATCGCTATCATCAATGGCTTTAAGCCATTTATCCAATAAAGCTGTTAACGCAATTTGACAAGAATGGTTTGCGCGAAAGGCTGACTGCATTCTATATAATAAATTGTATTTATTAAGATAATTTACTAAGTGTGTTTTCACATGTGTCTCGAGGATTTTAGAAATGAGTTGTAAAATTACAATGGGTCCGTAATTAAAAACATCCTGTTTTGAACCTTTGTTCTTATAAACTGGTATGACTTTAGCCAGTTTAAATGAAATAAGAAAAATACATTTTTTAATACTTAAGTTACAAATGTGACAAAGTGGTAGTGAAATAGTATCAGAAGACATCTTTAAAAACTTTGCACTTATGGTATCAAGATCTGTTGCTTTTAATTCATCTAGTGCTTTTAGTTGTAAAAACACAAAGTCATAACTCATTAGTGGTATAGAAAAGTGCACGTTATCTGGTACATGACCCGATATGAAATCTTCAAGTTTGTTGAAACAACAATTGTTGATGTTTTGATTTATATCAAGGTTATCTGTGATATTTTTGAAATAAGCATTGAAAACATCAGCAATACTTTTTGGATCTATAATTTTCTTTTTGTTACAATCACTTATGATTTAATACTGGTATGATTGTCGGTTCCGCTGACAGTATGTAGGTGCTTCCATAATATACTACTGTTGCCCTTTTTTGTCGAGCCTGCGAATTTTGTCGCAGAAAGCTCGACATAGGGATAATGATCCAGTGGCGGTCGTGGCGGCGGCGGCGTTAACTAACTTCTTAAAAACTTTATATTTTAGAAGATGGAAGACCTGGAAGCTTCATACTTTGTTTATAGATGCCTTATGTCATGAAATTTCCGTCTGTCATATGTCCATTGTCCTTGACCTCGTTTTCATGGTTCAGTACTATATTTAGTCTGTGCGTACCTTGCAAGGTGTTCATGCCAATGATTGTAAGGTGTACATGTATTTCTCAATTGGTTTATCTGACCTTGTCCTCATTTTCTTGGATCATGTTAAGTTTATGTGATACTTGTAGTAAAGCTTTATGTTTAGGACTATCAACATAAAATCAATGGTTAGTAAAGAAGGCGAGACATTTCAGTGTGTGCACTCTTGTGTGTTCTATGATATTGGTATAATAATTTTGTTTTGAGTTTTCGATGAAATATTTGACTCTGTTTCTCCAGAGTCTATAACTATACATATCTTTTTTCTTATGATAACAATCACGTTTTATCATGCTATCTCGAATTTAATCATTCATCCACTCATTTTGATACAAACGTTTAACTCTCTTTTTTATGAGTGGAGCATGACGATTTAATACTTCAGTAATAAAGAGCGACGGTTTGACGCTAATGTTTGTTTTTTATCACGCTGAAGAGCAATGATGGTATCGTGACGCTTTTAATTATAAAGACGAAATATTGTTTTCAAAACGTTCCTAACAGGAAATATTTTGATAACTAACTTTAAAATTGTTTTTTCATAAATCCTCAGTGTGTTGTCTAGCGGAAAAGACGATATTATAATAATTAACATGTAATGCAGTGGTTGTCGTTTGTTTCTGTTTCTTTTTTCCTTTTCTTTTATTTTTTTGTCATAAATTAATCAGACCGTTGGTTATTTTTGTTTGAGTTATGTCTTTTGGCATTTCGGGGACTTTCATAGCTTACTATATGGTTTGATTTTTGCTCATCGGTGAAGGCCGTACGGTGACCTATAATTGCTAACTGTTGGTTAGTTGTCTCGTTAAACAGCATCATGTTATATATATATATATAGCACGCCTTTTACGAATTAACGTTACGTTATTTAATTCACGAAAAGCGTAGCTTTGAGTTGATTAAATATGTTAATGAGTAAGGCGTGGCTACATGATATATGAATTGTAACATTAATGGACGATGACACACTGTCAATGATTAAACACAACTGCACTTTTCATTAATTAAAAATGTCAATCAAATAGTGGCGATGTTTATGATAAAACTTCTTTTGTTTTCAGAAAATTAATTCATGGATCAGAACTTTTAGTTTGATTTGATTTAGTGATAGATAGATGCACATGTAAATGATTTGTTACTGTAATACTGTCCTCAAGGTTAAAATACAAGAAAGCAATTTATGTGTTATTGAAGTCACCCCAGTCGAAAATTATTGAGAGGATAAATGCAAAATCTTGTTAGATATATGCCATGCTGCCTGTTTTAAAAACCAGTAGGACGTGTAGTTTTACAAGAGGTAAAAGAAGGAAACGTATTATGCCTTTCCAAACATGTACATGGTGGATTTTTTGATTGGCTGTTGATTGCATAATGTCCAGAGATATATATTTTAAGCATGCTGAATTCACGGAGATCTACCTTTAAAAAGTGAAGGAAATGAAACGAGTAAACGTCAAGTGACATTTTTTTAGAATTTTTGTTTTGGCACGATGAAAACAAGTATCCACCAATTTATCAATATCGCATCTTTGTTTATAGACCACGTAATTCCTTTTTGTAGCTCTCTTCGGTCAGTCATTTGTTTCAAGTATAGGGAACCTTTTTTCATTGATGGTTAGGGTTACAATATAAAAAAAAAGAGATGTGGTATGATTGGCAAGTATGACAAGTTTTGCTAGTGTTAGGCATTCTCCTTAGCACACTTCCCGATTTTGTTATATATTGTTGTGTATAAATGTATTAGGACCATTTATGGTCATTGTTTTCATTGTCTACTAGGCAAAGGAGGCGGAGCTAGACAGTGAAAAAAACTACTTCTGAGATGGAAGTTAGAGCACTGGTCTAAGCTCCTTCCATTCATTGCTTTTCCTATGACAAGCGTCAGACGGCGGGACTGGAGGATGCAATAACTTAAAAATCGCTCTGTTGACGCACTCCTCTAAAAATAACTGAGGTTAACTCACTCAAAGATCAAAGGAAAAATTACCAACTAAATTCACACTATACTCAAAATGTTAGAGTGATTTTAAATTGTAAGTTTTAGTTATATAACTCTCGTAAAGGGTGAATAAATAAGGGTCTATAAACAAGCAAATAGAAGAAGAAACAGACAAATACAGGAGAGAAAGACTATATGGTGTGTGTACAGCGAATATTTTTTTTATTCTTGGCACTAA